ACGTTTGCCTTTTGTTCCAAGATGAAAGGAAATTTCACAGATCTGTCAGCAGAAGAAACCTCTATTTATGGTCTCAGCTGAAGGAAGTGGGGCACTGGTTCGCGTCTTCTCTGCGGTGACAGCTGCAGGCAGAGGGTGGGACTGCAAGGGCAAGTGATAACAACCTGTGTTTGTGGTACTCAATAGCCCTGCCCTATAGGTGTCTGCACCTGCTCTCTGTCCTCCCACTCATGCTTCCTGGGAAGAAGTAGCAACTTCTCCATAGTTCAGTCCAGCGCCTAAGGTCACCATGCCCTTCCAAGGCACAACAGGGCTTTCCCCCACACCCTGCACTATTTGCCTACCCAGAACTCAGGACCTGCTGCGCCTCCTCCAGAGCATCGCCCGGAAGTGGTGGCGAGGCTGGCTGCATCCCAGCCAGAGAGGCATCCGGCCAGAGGGAGTGTTCGAGGGTGGGGGAGGGAGACACTGACTCTAGGTTTCCACTGAAAGGAGGTCACTGGTGACCCTGACAGGAGCCGTTTTGGTGAAGTGATAGGGAAAAAAACCAAAAACATAAACAAGCAAACTAAAGCAGACATCCACGTGGGTTCAAGAGAAAATGAGCGGAGAGTAAGAGAAGAGGGGATTATCGACATCTCTTTTGAAGGTGTTGCTGTGAAAGGAGCATCAAAGTAGCTGATCATTGTCATTCTCACAGTGCAGCTGTGATGGGAGCTGTTTAACCCAAAGGAATCCTTGATTTTAGTTCCTGACGCTGCTCTTTCACTTATTGTTTTAATTTCTTTGGGAGTTTAATCAGCTAGCTTGAAACCATAGACTGTTTCGTTCCTGCCAAGTGCTTAGGTAAAGGGACAAGAAAGTTTGGATGGAATGGTTGAAGATGAAGAAAAATCTGATGCAACACAACATTGTGGAGAGAAGTGGGAGGGTGGAGGACAACAGAAGCAGGACTGGAGCATTAAGATTTGCAAAGAGGGCACTAGAAACTGGGAAGCAGAACAAACAATGTTGACAGACAACATAAAAACATTTATTCTTCCAAATTTTTCTCAAGGCACACCCTGCTGACAGTCTTCTCCTTATCATTTGGATTTTGCCACCAGAAGTCACTAGAGCTCAACTTTGTCCATCAGAGATGAAGCCTTCCCAAGAAACTTACCAATGGTTTTCAAAGACAAATGAAACATGGCTGAAAAGCAGAACGAGCTGTAAAGAAAAAACACGCTGCTGTGGTCATTATCTAGGGTTCTAGATGCGGAGGACTTGACTACATGATGTCCAGAGTCTTTATTTAACACATGGCAAAAGGGATTTTCTTTGCAATTATATTTTTCTGTTATTCCTTTCTGTGACAACAACAACAAAAGCAAACAATAAACCACTGTGAGAAGGATATTTTAAGTCAGTTACTGAGCAAGGGCGTGCTTGTTAACTATTTTTGGCTCCTGGGGCACAAAACAGATAGGTCCCTCCACGCAAAGGGCTGACCTGGAGGATCAACACAAGTTTAACTGAGGACGTAAAGCCTGAGGTGCATTTGAGTGAAGTAGGAGTCAACCTGAAGAAGTAAACTGGAGAGGCGGTCCAGGGTGTGGAGGAGGTGGAGGAAGGCTTTCTGAGTAGTGAAAGCAGGCTTTTAAGTTCGTCAAGGCTTGCTGAAGATTTTTGTTAGTTTCTCTTTTCTTTTCTTTGCCATAAAAAATAAAACTGTACCTGTTTTGAAACTGGAAAAACTTGGAGCTGTATCTTTTTTTGGCGACCCGCATTCCATAGGATGAAGCTGATATTCTGCATTCTGTTCTACATAGTATTCTATCCAGTTTGTACACTGAGATCCCCACTGTGAACGGAAGTTCTTATTTCACCATGTTTCAGTTTGCACGTAATAGTAGTTTTCACAGCAGTAACCAAGATCAACCACTGTATGCACTTTTACCTCTTTTTCTTCTGTTCCCAGTCTCCTCAGAATCAGAACACATACATCCCCTGTGCTTGTGAGGCGGGAAGCCCCATAAAAAGACCAGCGGGACCCCCAGGGAGGGGCACTGCTCTCCGGCCAGCACCATCTGATTCCCTGGC